TATATGGTTAAATTGTATGTTTATGTAAATATATGTTTTCAAGTGAGTCACCCAATGATAATAATATTTAACTGCCTGTTTTTTTCTGAGACAATATTTTAATATATTATATTTATGTATAGTACTTTTATAAAAGCAGATATGGAGAGTTGTTATTTTAGTTTTATGCTGTTTCAAGTGAATGTATTCATGTTAATGGTATCCTGAAAGGCACACTCTCCTTTTAAATGTAAATGAATGTTTGACTTTCAAAATTTCTTTGCTATGGTGTAATTTAAACTTTTCACCTGCCTTTCTGCCAATCGTAAGTTCCTAATCTGTGCTAGCCTTTCATTTTTCTTCTCAAGTGTCTGCCCCCTTTACCCAATTCCTTGTCACCAGCAGGAAATGGAAGCTGACATGTCTGAGGATTGGCAGTGAAACTGGGGGAGCCACTGCTCCATGGGCTGTGCTACCTGAGAGACTCATGTTGAATGACTCCTATATTGACGCCTTATTCAGGACGGCCCACCATCTGTGCATCATGTTTAGAATTTTGACTGGCATCTTCTAGATTAACTTGGTACTCATCATTGTGCAAGCACTGAACCTGACACATATCCTCTTACTTCTGTGACTCTACCATCCTTTAATTTTCCTGCCTTCAAAATTATTTGCACAAGGTTATAAAAATCAACATAACTTCCTTGGCAATTTTATGAGGGTGTATAAACCATGATGTGTATGCTCACTGCATTAGTCACTCCTTTTTCAGCCCAGTGGAGGTGCAGGAAACCAGTATGTTTCCTTCCTTCTCTGTCTAACTGAGTATGCTGTATGGTTATTTTCTTCCTATAATTCTCTCCTATATTCTAAGGTAACACATAAATACTCTCTTGAAAATAATCACTCAGGAAATAGGGTATTCATGATTCACTGCCTTGCACATTTTTTTTCAAAATACTTTGGATTTCTGTATTTTCATACCAGGTTTACGAATGGAGGCAGAAGATATAAAGAAAAACTGGGACATTCTGGGTTACATCTTCCCTGTTATACTTTCCCATTAGTGTCCTTATTATCCTATTTCCTGCTGAAAGGGTTTCTGCCACAGTTTCATCTGTTTAAAAGGAACTTTTCCTAAAACCAAAGTGTCTTCTCAGTATTGGTTCTGATTATTATTATTTGGCTGAAGCATCTGATAGTAGAGCTCAAGAGGAAGAAAAATAAAATTAAAATATTCAAATGGAAAAGTAACTTTGCATTCCAAAAATATTTTGCAAATCAATAATATATAAGTACATGTATAACATATATATATATATATATATATATATAATGTATGTGTATCTATACTCTATTATCTGTAATTTCTGTGCTTTGTCTAGCGTGTCCCAATTTGGTAAACATTTACTTATAAAATACTATCAATTCACTTTTGAATTAGTTGCTTTGCTCAATATGCTATGTTGAAGCTGTTTGTCAACCCATGCTGTCTCTGCAAAGTAACTTCTATATTATATATAAATAAACATTAACATTTAATAATACTTATTGTATTCCAGACAGAAGTGTAAATATTTTGCTCACATTTCTTCAATTTTGACACTGTACCTCGTAAGCTAATTTTCCTAAGGTTTTATGGGAGAAGCAGTGGAGCATATATATGAGTTTTTGCATTGTGACTCTGATGTTATCCACTTAGTTACAAGGCTGCATTTTATTCCAATAGATTAACTATGTTTCCAGATAAATTTACTTTGTTGAATAAAATCATTTAAAATCCTGTGGCAGTCCTTTCATAAATTTTACTTTGATTCTATGCATCTCCTGTTTTATTTTGCCTTTTAATCTCCAGTAGCAATTTCACTTTCCTGCCTAATCTAACAACAGTTTCTTTCCAGGAATACATTTCTCCAGTTTTCTCCTGGCATGTCTGATGCACATCATGAATTTCATGTTCAGTGGCAGGACACTCAGATATCTAGGATGAGACTGTGTGACGTTAAATATAAGTCATAAGAAAGAAGAAGAGACCATTCTGAGTTATGAAGATCCTAAAGCAACACTCACGTATGCTGTGATGCATTCACTGATCTTGCTTCTCTGGGGAACTCCTTCTTTTCCGAATCCCTGATAGTGTTCTGATTTGCTTTGCCATATGTTCTTTGATCGGAATATTGGGGTTTCCTTCTGGCATCAACTCTCATAGCCTTACCCATATCTACGGTTGCAGAATTTCTGTCTTTTTCCTTGCCAGTGTCATTGTTTTGGATACTATGCAGTTGGATCTTGGGGTAGACACTTTAAAATTTATCTCCTTTTAGGCAGTGTTTTTTTTTTTTTTTTTTTTTTTTTTTTTTTTTTTTTTTTTTTTTTTTTTTTTTTTTTATTAAACTATGTCATCCACTTTAACTCAAACACTCTACTTCTCTTTTTCTGTTAATGTGGAATAGCTTGTTTTCCGGTGTCTAGACCACTACAATCCTGGAGAATCACTAACAAGTCACACTTTAATATTTATATTTAGAGAAAACAGCCAGAGTATTCACACTGTGCCAGAGAACTGGGATTTGACAAGGCCATGTGTTTTATCCATTTAACTCACTCTTCAAGAGTAGTACTATTGATAGATTCAGGGTCTATGCATGACGATTCAAGTCTACTGGAGATCATGACTGTCCATCAGAGTCCTGCTGAGAAGGGAAGTTCCTGCAGCTCTTCTGTGTTTAAGACAACCTTAGAGCAAACATCCATAACTCTAGCATCAGCTGATACAAGAACCTGTGAGGTGTGTGTTCAGGAAAAAGTATTCCTTTTCATGAGGTGTTGTTTCTAACCTGGTTCGAACTTCTGTTCCTAAACTAAGATATTAAAGGATTATCAAAGATTTTAGACGAAGTGACATCTCCATAGAAGGCATTCCCAAGAGTTTTTCAAGAAGGGAACTTTAAAACTGGTGATGTACAGACAGAAAGAAGTCAGTATTAAGGCCTTAAGTGTAGACCATTAGTAATAGAATTGCTGAATGTGAGGAGGCGAAGTTCATTCTTTACCTTGTAATGATATAGCCTCAATTTTGTATCAGTGTAATTCTGCCCACTTACAAAGATTTGGGAAGCATTTTCTTCTTTACCTTTTTTGAGAAAAGTTTACAAAATTTTCATATCATTTTTCTCCTGATATTTGGTTATGTTTACCAGGTAAATCCAACGAGGCCTGGTGAATGTCTTACTGAAAGATTTTAAATAAAAATTTCAAACTGCGCAAAATCTGTTACATTATTTCTTTTGTAAAGAGCTTTGGTAGTGTCTGAATTACAAACTGATGTATTTCATCCCAGCTATTAATTTGATTCATGTAAATTTGAGTATAATATACCTTATTAATATAATTTGTAACATTTATTTTTATATTTTAATTTTTTCTTATTGTCCAATTTTGAATAAAATACATGTAATTTCTATCAAATTTGCTAAGCATAATATATAAATATATATATATATATATATATATATATATATATATATAAGTTAAATGTTACACATAAATATATAGATGAATATAATTATTTAAAAATCTCTTACAATGAATTATGGTCATAATGGAGAAAATAGTTCTTGATGTTATGGGCAATATTGTAAAACTCACAAGCAACATATTTAAGAAACACTGGAGTCAATGACATAAATGTGTCATTACTGATTAGTTTGTCAATATCGCTACATGCTTTTGGATCAAATGTCTAAGACTTTAATTTGTTAATTACAACGAATTTATATTGCTATTAAAGAATTCACTTACATTTTTTGTTTACTTAATGTGAAAATGAATCCATTTTCTTCACAGTTTGCAAGATTTTGTGAAAAATTATAGCAGGATGTAGTATGCACAAATCAAGCTGTGTGTGTACAGAGTTTACATTTTAATAGTAATGGAGTAGTTGAAGACTATCTTTAAAAGCAATCTTACAAACAACACTTCTTACCAGGAATGATAATATTATATGGCAGCTCTCCTACAAACAATAAAAAACTCCTGAATGACATGAAACTCAAAAGAACAAGTTAAAAGATAATCTGAGATTCAGCGAAAGCAATCAAAAGTATATCTCAGATACTTTCTTAATTAAATACTGGATACTTATTTAAATACTGAATACTTAATTAAATACTTATATAGTAGACTAATAACCAGTGTGTAATATTATATTATACCACATACCACAAGAAGAGGTTACATAGGTATCATTAGTGAAGTGACACAGTATCATAATAAAGCAAGCCTGAGCAATGCACCTTTATCACTTAGTCAGCAGTCATCCAATTATGTTCTGTATGAGCGATGACAAGAGGTGACAGCTTTGTGATGCTAAGCAACTGTCACCTCTCAGGTTGTAAGCTATATGAAAATAGTGAAGATAAAGTAAAATTTAAATATGTATATAAATGAGGTAACAGCTAAACATAATGTGAAAAGGTTAAATTCTACTTTGTTTTAGATACTTATTTTGGCTAATATCTTTATGTTTCCAAAATATAATACTTTATAAAAGATTAACTCTTTAACACTTTTTGTAAAGGCCCATTTGTGGTATCAAAGACAAAAATGACCTCGGCACTTCCCCTTCCTCTGAGGGTGACATCAGACCTGGGAGCACTGTACATATTTGTCATCGTACCTAAGTGTTGCATTACTGAATAATGATGTTCATTCATTATCACGGAACAGACACTCCCAGAAGTGTGCCCTGCATGCTAAATCCCATGTGTCCTTTCCCATTTCTTCATAAAACTCCCTCATATTTGGCATCCCTCGTGACTGACTCAACAAGTTCCATGGCTTGACAAGAGAATTTTCCATTAAAAGATCAAGTTGAAATTTTGCTGCATCTATGAAGCTTACAAAAATTGTGCCAGACTTTATTTTCTTCAACAGAGAGGTCCACATTGATGGAAATTAGGACATCAAAAGTTATAGAACTTAAAATATTTCACAAAGTATTTTTCAACTTCCCTTCAATGTCTGCTATCTCAGTCTCAAACTTCAGTAGTTCTAAATTTGTTCTGACCGGATTTCCTGGCCTAGAAAGGTACTATTTTTGGTTTTCCATTCCTTTCTCCCTCATCTACGCCACGATGTTCTTGGGAAACTGCATGGTGCTCCATATTGTCCGAACTGAGCCGAGCCTGCATGAGCCCATGTTCTACTTCCTGGCTATGCTGTCCTTCACCGACTTGTGTGTGGAGCTCACCACCATCCACACAGTACTCGGGGTGCTATGGGGATTGATTCAAGAGGTCAGTCTGGATTCCTGCATCACTCAGTCCTACTTCATCCACGGTCTGTCCTTCATGGAGTCCTCAGTCCTCCTCGCTATGTCCTTTGACCGCTATGTTGCCATTTGCAACCCTCTACGCTATTCCTCTATCTTAACAAATGAAAAAATCATGAAAATTGGGGTTGCAATCTTATGTAGGAGTTCTTTACTCATTCCTCCAGTCATCATTCGCCTTAGGTTCTTAAATTATTGTCACCCTCATATCCTCTCGCACTCTTTCTGTTTGCACCAAGACTTAATCCGAATGGCCTGCTCAGACATCCGCTTCAACAGCATTTATGGTCTGACTCTGGTGATCAGCAACTTGTTGTTGGATGCAGTGCTCATCTTAATCTCCTATGTCATGATCTTGCACACAGTTTTAGGCATTGCATCCTGGGAAGAGAGAATAAAATCTTTGCAGACTTGTGTGTCTCACATCTGTGCTGTTTTGGTTTTCTATGTCCCCATCATTGGTCTGACCATGGTGCATCGCTTTGGAAAACACCTCTCCCCACTCGTTCATGTCCTCATGGGCAACATCTACATCCTTTTCCCACCCTTGATGAACCCCATCATTTATAGCATCAAGACCCAACAGATACGAAGGAGAGTACAGAGACTCTTCTGCTCAAAAGGAACTTAAATGTATTTAGCAGTCAACAAGGGAATTTACAATGGTGAGAATCAGTAAGTAGTTAAAAATATATTTTTCACTTCCATTTTAATGATGTTTGACATGTTACAATTTTTTCTATCTCTTTTCTAACATCCAACAAATCTTTCTTTGAAAGTGTGATATATTCATTTATTTTGTGAATAAGAATATGTACGTATAATATACACATAATGTAGGAAATGAATTTTCTACTGAAATCTAGATGTATCATCACCAATTGAAGGAGGGCTGTTGTATATACTCATTATGAACAAGGTAAATTTGGTGGTTAATATTCTTCAACTAATACTAATGAATCAAACTTCATCTTAACCTAGTCTTATTACTCTATTATTTATCCACATAGCTACATAATGATGATACTGAATAGATTAAATAATTTATAGTGAAAGAAACAACAAAACTGTTGATGCTGTATTACCCCCTCATGCAACAATTCATGTAGCCCTAAATTATGAATATTAATTGAACTAGGGATGTAAACAATGTGTAATGGCAGAGTAAAAAGAAATAGATTTTCTCAACTATGTACTTCATCAAATATTTGGTACTATTAGAATACAGTTGCAATCACTTTCAAAAGTTGATTTTGATTCCAAAGTTTTAACTAATTTTTCTAGAATCCCTTGCTCAACCTAAAAGAAAATAATATGCCTAGATTGTTACTTTGAAAATGTAATATAAATGTTTATAGTTTAATCTGCTCTTCATGAATGTGGTAACTATTATTTTCTATTTAAAATGGAGGTTGGTTAAATTATATGCCAAAATTTTAGTAGGCACTGCATTTTAGAAATTGGACATATTTCTTAGTTAATTTCAAATCTCTTGATAGGTCTTTTTTCTGACTTTTCATCTGTATTTTTAAATGTAGTTTCTAAATGCCTAAGTAATCATTGTGAAATATATACATGATAAAATAAAAATAATTGATGTATATTATATATGATAATGAAATATAAATATATACATTTTTCTGTCTTAAATAGATCAAAATATTATTTCTGCAGGAATGGATAGCTGACGTTCTATTATCTATAAGGTCAGTTTATTAAGATATAATTACAAATGGTATAATATCCTTGTTAGATAATATGTATAGATTGTAGACTTTATATTCATGTAACCAATACACAATCATGAAATAGATACTTTCATTATGATCAAAAGTGTTCTTGTACTTGCTTTTGCTCCATCCTATCGCATAACCTCAAGTGTGTGGAAGCCATTAACCTTATTTCCATTATAAAGGCTTGATATCACATAGCATAATACTTTTGAAATTCGTTCTTATTGCTGTTTGTATTTGTAGTTGTTGTTATTATCCAAGTGTATCACATGTAAGGAGCTATCAATTCACTCATCTGTTGGTCTTCTGTTTTGTTGTTTTAGCCTTGAATAATGCTCTTCTGAACATACATAATATATTATATAAAACATTTCTCCAAAAAGTAGTAGGTATCATACTTATAATTTATATTTTGTATGCTAAGAATCTAATAACAATAATAACTATGATAGAATTCAAAACAACAAATAATTTATATTAATTAGATGTCTATTATATGCCCGCTACCTAGGGAGCACCAGCAGTGATTCTTGCTTGAAACCAGAGTTTAAATCTGCATGGAAAATCATCACCATTTGGTTATGTCATAAGAATATTGCCATAGAGGGATTTAAAATTATTGTTCTAGAAAATGATGGTGAGGCATTTTGGCTTCAGGATTAGCACTTATACCAGGATTGCTGTTGCTTCATGATTATTATTGTAGGGTTTTCCTCATTGTTCTGTTACTTTGTTAGTGATGGTGGGATTTAGCTATGAGGTAAGAATTTTACTCTTGTAATTTATGTAAATGTATATTTCCAGTGTGTTACTGATGCTGTTATTTAATACATCATTCTATTCTCAGTTGATGACATAATATTCCAAATTTATATGTACCAGTTTTATACTTTAAAGTTAACCATAAAGAAGCTTGTTTATTTGTGTAATTTTTCTTTATGTAAAGGTGTGTTTAATTTGTATGAACTTCCTACTTTTCCCTTTAAGTCAAGTTAATCCATGTAAGCTTAAAGAAATCTTTGCTATGTATCATATTCTGCCTGAGTAACTTTTAGACAACTGAAAGTTGGTGATCTCTGCTAGATGTTTATTTCTTTCCTTTAGAGGTCTCTGTCCACTCACTCCCAAAACCTTCTTGACATATTCATTAAAATGAAGCTGATAAAGTGTTTCAGGAATGAAAGAACTGGGTGAGCCTGTAGTCTAGGGTTACATTGCAAGGGAAATCCGTGTTGGAAGAATCTCATTCTGCTCCCCTTTCTGTATGGAGCTCCACCTTTTTGTACCTTCTGCTAAAGTATGACTGATACTTTCCTTGAATTCACTTAGTTTCTCATGCAAAACATTGTCTCTTATTATGCAAGCCATGAACTCACCCTCTTCTCTTCTCTTTGACTGGACTTGTCTTTTTTTGGCCCTTGGCTAAAACATCACTTGCCCAAAATGGACAAACTCAGGCTCAGTTTCTTGGTAGCTTCACAAGTGTGTGCTCATCATGATTTGTGTGACCCTTGCAGTGCTGTGAAGAATGCTGAAGGGAAGCTCCCTCAGACACACAAGCAGGGAACTTGGTATTACTGACCCTTTCCTTTTAGCTTCCCTTTAGAAGCACATTAGGTTTCTACTTTCTCATACCGTGACAACTTGAGTGAAGGCCAGAGAATATGTAACTGAAAAGGGGATCTTAAGCATTATGCATTCGCTGTGATCCTTTTTGCAGGTATGTTTTTCTTCCCCCACTTCATGTTGAATAGTATTCTGTTGTTGTGTGTGTTTAAAAGGAAAATATTTTGCATCCCATCCTCCTTCTCCATTATCTTATTTTTAATTGGTATTCTGTGATAGAAGTTCTTAAAGATAGCAGGGCTCTCAAGAAAGAAAAATATAATGAAAGAATATTCACAATGAAAAACATTCTCTTAAAGAAGTAGTCCACACATCGTGAGGAACCAGACGTCTCTGAAAGTGATGTTATTTTAGGAAGTTTTCATCTTTTATTTGTCCCTGATATTAGTGCTCAGAATAGAAAATTGAGAACAATATTGAAGGAGGCTTATTTTGCTGTGTTGATTTTGAATTTGCATGGTGGTAGCAGTAAGCAGTGTGTTAATTATTGATGCTCTCCTATTATCTTGTCCTGAAACTATTTTATTTTTTTTTCTTCTTTTACAATAAAGCAAAAAAATAAAAGATAGAAGATCATTCATAATCCAAGAGGGATAAGAGACATTCACTGACATGAAAGTCATCATGATTTTATACAGTTTATGCTATTGAAAATTATGGTAATGATAAAAATAACAGACATTTAATGATTATGTAATGTGACTTAAATCACCAAGTTGCCCAAACTTGAATCCTGCCTCAGTCTCAGCCTCCATGAGTGCATCACCACATCCAACTCTATACAGCTGTATTCTAACAAATTTTCAATATTCCCTCATCCTTCATAAAGTGAGAAAACAATCTTACACCTAAAATTTAAAAAAAAATAGAAAGCCAGCAAATATTGAACTGTATTATACACTTTTACAATAAAGTCATTATATATTTAATAAAGGAAGAAGAAAAGAACTATGTATGACAGATAAATATTTCCTTTAGCTATGACCTTGGTGCATAATTTCACTGATTAATAATGACAGTTCAGGAAGATATATTCTGTATAACTCAGTGAACGTATTTTAGTACTCCAATTGTTAAACCAGTTTTTGACATTTTCTTTGAACTGTGTCTTGTTTTAAACACTTCATTAATTACTTTTTTAAATGCCAATTAGAAGTATATTAATCCAACAAAAAGGTTACTGATATGATTTCCATTGTACTTATAAAGATGTGGCATGATCGTGTCAAGTGCCAAGCAGTGGCTGACACAACTATGATCGGACTAGCAGAAATCCTAACTCAGATCATCTCACTCTGATGCACAGCTGCATTCATCTTCCATAGACAATCTCTTTTTTCAAGCTCTATTCTCCCAGATTCCTTGATCTCATGATATTCTTGATTTTCTACTGTAGTTTCATAGTTCTGCGCCTCCTTATCCACTGATAGTGATCTTATTTCCACTACATTATTATTATTATTATTATTATTATTATTATTACTCAATGTCACTTCCAAAGTTTTTTGTTTGGAATAGAATGAAAAACAAAAATACAGTATCAGAATTTTACCACTGGTTACTATGTTTTCAAGGAATTACAGAGAGTAAGTTTCAACTATACTGAAAATGTTGGCTATATAACAGATGAAGTCTACACTGTAGATAACTGTAGAAAAGATTTACATGACAGTCAAATAAAAAATCAGATGGCTTGATCAGAAAATGTTGCAAAACATTTTCTGAATGCAAAAGAGATGATTATATTGGGGTAGTTTGTATCAAGGGGGTGCGGTATGAAGACATTGAAATCAAAATATTGAATCGAAATGTTTTGAAATTAAGTTTCTATCACAAAAAAGATAATTAAATGAGGTTATTTGATTGGTTTTCTGTTTCTTCCTTTAATATAAGTTGGGATCCAAAAATGGATTACAAATTCCAAATAATTGAAAGCTGTCTCTGTTGTCAGTTAGAGCAGTTTATGTGCTGCAGATCCTACCAAACACATTCATGGGACACTTTTGAAAGGTTTAGAGTTACCCAGGGGTGAATTAAATGCTGAGAGGACAGGGCAGTGATTCTCCAAAATCAATTCAATAACACAGAACTAAAAAACGAGAGGGTTTGGTTAGAGATATTTTTTGCCATTTTCATTTGATGCTCATTTGGTGATGGTGCTGTATTTCTTTCCTCCGGGACCCATCGTATGCAGCCAATCCCCTCCACACAGATCTTAGTTTTTATTCACTCTCTATTTTTCCTCTTAAAATGTCCTCAGGATCTCACCTTT